CATCTGGACGAGCTCCGGTTCCGTGTCCCCGGACCTCCGGATCATCCCGACCGGCCGCGGCGCTGTTGGACGGCGGCGCCGCTCTGACCGCCGCCGAGCCGCCGCCGAGCTGTCCATTGAAAGTCGGAAGTTGTATTTTGCTCAGTGAAACTTGACAAAATGGCAGAAGACAACAGTTATGAGTCGATGCTCTGCGTGAAGCCGGAGGTCCATGTTTACCGGATCCCGCCGCGGGCCTCGAACCGGGGATACCGGTAAGATGAGCTCAGAACCAGGGGGGGACGGTTCTGAACCGACGAGGCGCAGCAAGTGTTGATCAGCGGGCTGATGCGTCCATTATCGGACCGCAAGTTGTCATCAGTGTTGTCTGTCTCCTTTTCTCTCGTCTTCTGCTCAATGTGTTCGGTGGGTTCTGTCCACACGGCACCGCTGGAGCCGTTAACGGTTCCGATAAATGGACACGGCTGAGTTATGTGCTAGCTAGCTGGCTAACCAAGCTAGCTATTGCGAAACTCTAATAATTCGTCGCTGAACACATGAAACTGCTCACCGAAATAGGACACCAACATCCAGACTTGTTTTCAACCTCCTACCTGCAGCTGTCACCTGTAGTCGGTGAAAAACTCGAGTTTAGTTGTGAAGAACTTGACTAAAGCTAACATTTCTGATAACACTTAGCCTGATACGGTTTAAATGCGTGTCCGATAATGGATGCAGGGGTTCAGGGTTAATGCTAGCTAGCTGTAAAAGTGTCAAAGCAGAGTCAGCAAAACTGGAGGAGGCGTTAATAGTTGAGCAGCTTGTTGAAGAAATTAATAAAAAAAAAAGGCCCGAAAAGTTCAGCTTTATTTGAATTTTCTTCTGTTGTGCTGAACAAAAAACGTGAAATGCAGCTAAAAGTCCTGGAAGAGGACAGGTGGTCCCTGTTTAGCTGCATTAGCTCAGCAGTTAGATAATAAGATGATGAAACTTCTGATTGTATTTTGTCTGCGGGTGACTGAGCATGCGCCACTATTACATATGTTTAGGATTGCATATTTAATTTGAGTTTATACTCTATGAAACTGGTTCAGCTCAGAGACTTGTGATCCTCGAAGGACCCCTTAAAGGTGCCCTGTTGTGGTCTTCTGGTGAACCAGTCCTGCAGCTGTAAACCCAGTAAAACAGGTCAAAATGAGCCAGTGGATCAGATGAGCGCAGCCACTCAGACTTGATTTGACTTATGAGATTATTTTTCTTCAGTTGGCAGCTGAACAAGAGAACTCACTGTTTCCATGCACGTCTCATTTTTAATTTCACTTCCTCTTACGTGGAAAAGCTTCAGCTGGCGGCCAGAAAAAACAACGATGGGGTCAGCTGTTCGCACAGATGAGGACGACACACACCACCCTCATATCTGGATGTGTGCTTCCTGTTTTTACAGGGCTGCTGACTGGAAGCTGGATGAACCTGCATGGAGCGGTCGGATGAAGATTACCGCCAAAGGCAAGATGGCCTACATCAAGTTGGAGGACAGGAACACGGGTAAGAAGTGTTCATGATACTAACAGCTGTTTAAAAATGGGTCGTCGCTCCCCATAGAAATGCAGAATTTGTAACAAAACAGTTAAGTGTCTCACAGTCACAGGTACCGTATATGAACCTCATGGTTATATTTAAGAACATATAAAGAGCATCACACAGCTCCTGTCAGAAACCTGCCACCTTGCTCTGTTCTTTATAACCAGCATCCTGACTTAAGTCCTCGTCAGTAACAGGAAATGACTCTCAAGGCTTTGTTTGCTGTAAATGCTGTTTTGCAGGAGAGCTGTTTGCACAAGCTCCCGTCGAACAGTATCCAGGTTGTGTAGTCGAAGCCGTCACAGACTCCAGCAGGTACTTTGTGATCCGGATAGAAGATGGCAACGGTAAGGCTCTTTATTAAGAGTTAATTATGGGTTCAGACAGCCACAGATAGGGTCATGTTTTGGTTGTAAATGATGATAAAAAAACAAATAAATGTCATGACTTTGATCTAATACTAAGTCAAAATTGAGCTTTTTAGGTTTCTTTATTTAACTTGGGCCTAAAATGTATATTTTTGAATTTTAAAGCTGCGATCTCATAATCCATTACTCCCCCATAAACTGCATTTATATACAGTCGTGACTCGATAATCCGACCCTTAACAATCCTAAACCTCGCTGTCTGACAGGTTTTTAGGAAAAACCAACAGAACCCATTAAAAACAGCCTTAACATAGCGACAGCCTTGGATTGTGACTCCGACATGACATTTAATGTCACCAATCAGGATGACGGCGTATTATCTGACTGAACAATCCCACAGATTGGCTACGTTCACACTGCAGGACTTGATGCTCAATGAGGATTTCTTTGTGACTTCCTTCACGTTTCCACTTCAATGCGACTTGTATGTGATCTGCTGTGTGAACTTCATACGACCCAAAAGTGTCCCGCATGCGCAGAAGAGGACACGACGACGTCACACGCAGCGAGCGTGCTCAGTGTTTATGGAAGTAAACATGGATGGTAACGGTGGAGCGTATCTGCCACTCCCCCGCCGCCACCGATGGAGGAAACAGAAGTGTGAGCGCTAACTAAACTAGCATCAGCAGCCAAGTACTGCCTGTGCGTTCTGGACACTTCCACCCCGTCAGAGCGCTGCCCCGGGGTGGAAGTGGCCGGAACGTGCACAAGTGCACCAGTCAGTTAGGCTGTAGTGTTCTAACAATACACTAGTTATTGGGCTACACTAGGCTCCTTGTATCTGGACCTCCGTCTTGACAATCCGACAGCCTTGCTATCCGACATAGAAGAAGGTTTTACATTTAGTGTCGGGTCATCGAGTCACGACTGTACTTTCCAGAGATGTAAGGTAGAAGTCACTTCAACATATATTTTTTCTTCTTTTTACAGGACGCCATGCGTTTATTGGCCTGGGGTTTGCTGATCGTGGAGACTCATTTGACTTCAATGTCGCCTTACAAGACCATTTTAAGTAAGTCGCCATCGATTAAGTGTCTTTACTGTTATTTAATTTGTATTTCAGTGTGTGCTCTTAACTTAATACAGAAGGTGATCTGTTCATAAACACCTCCAGCTGTATGTACTTGTGCCCACACATGTTGGTACGTCTACCTTTCCATGCTAACGTGACAGCTTTGTGTGTTGACGGTAATGCTTCAGTATTAACTTCCCTCCAGTCTGATGGTTTTGTTCCTACAAATATCACCACAACCACTGGCGCTGGTTCTATTCCTGTCTGTATTTTGCTGCTGTTCAGAAATATTTAATTCATAATTATGTTTGCTTTCAAACTCTAAAGGTGGGTCAAGCAAGAAGGTGAGCTCGCAAAACAGGAAGCTTCTCAGAGCGCAGCACCTAAACTGGACCTGAGCTTCAAGGAGGGACAAACCATCAAGATCAGCATCGGGGTGAGCGCTGTTGAAGAAATTCTACCCGTAGTCCTCGTGTGAAGTTTGCTCTAGTGGGTGTTTTCCAGGCTCACCAACACCCAGAACCCAGAACATTTTTATATGAGTATGTCAGAGGGTAGGGAGGGCCTGTGTGTAACTACCGTAGTGAATAGTGGTTAGTTAGCACGCAGTTGCTAATCGATGACCAAAAGGTGGTGGAATCGGGGGTCAGTGGCAGGAAGATCAAAACGTCTGGTGACCATCTGAAGAAGAGAGAATGTCTTTCTTCATCAGCGTGAAGCCCCGACATGACACAAGTGATGACATCGTAAGTAAACGCCGGCAGATTTCAAGGAATAACTGATTGACTTTGTGTCACAGAACATCAAGAAGAAGGATGCAGGTGGCGCCAAGTCTCGGCCCATGGGTGGAGGTCTGCTCCCGCCTCCACCAGGAGCAAAGGCTGGAGGTGTGCTGCCGCCTCCCGGAGGACAGCCGGCGGTCTCGGCTGTACAGACTAACGCAGGTGATCGTCGTGTCCTTCAGCTGCACGAGCATTCTTGTATAAATGGACACTGATGTTTTGACAGTTTGTCTTCCAATCCAGCCCCTCTTCTAGACTTCGGCTCGCCCGTCCCCGCGGCCCAGCCCGCCTCCGACTTGTGGGGAGAGTTTACATCTGCAGGCTCCAAGTAAGTTTGTCAGAGGACACCACCTACACCGCTCTGTTGCATCGTCACATCCATCCACCTTTTTTCCTTTTTTTTTTTTTTGTGTGTGTGTTTCTTTGGTTCCTATCTCCATCATCACTCTCATCTTCTGCCCCCCTCTCCTCCACAGCTCCAGTAAAGATGCTGTCAAATCAGGATGGGTGCAGTTTAGTTGAGTCGTAAGCGAGCGCGCGCACACTCAGGTTCCATACATTCCATGGACAGGAAGGTTGTGGCAAAAAGAAACTAAGAGAGAGGAACTGTTGGCAGACTTGACTCGCTGTAGGCCGCTGACCAACACACTCTGGAGGAACAAAATGTACAGATTTTTTTTTTTACAGTCTTGTTTCTATGCAGTAGGATTGATTTTAGCGGTCGGTCTGCTCTCGAGCATGTCGGTGGTTGAAGGGAAAGCTCCTCGTCACACTAACCAGGTGAAATGTTTCCCCGTTGCCTTAAATCAGATGTTCTAGTTCCTAATCCTTCATCTGTCCAGAATCAGATTTTATTGTTTATGTTCCTGTTCCAGTTCCGGGATGATGTCGTTACACCAGCTCAGCTCCTCTCCGGGTTTTTTTTTTCTTTTGCCATTTGGGAAATTAGTTGAAGTGTCCCCGATTGGCTGTATACAAGTATATATACGTTTTTCTGTTTGTAACTATTTCTATCCTTTTAGTTCTTCTTTAAGTAGATCTTACAAATCTTTATTGATGTTTGATTAGTTTTTAAATTAATGCACCCAGAGAAGAGTCACGCCTCCCATCTCGTCTGTCATTCAAAGCACCAACGTGTTGGTTCCTTCGTGTCTTCACCTTTTTGGCGTTTTCACTTTTTTTTAAAACGTGCCTTTTACCCAGTTGAACTCTCCTCCTGTTGATCATTTGAGTATTTGATTGAGTGCCTTTCTGAAAAAGACCTAAAATGTATAGAATGTAAACCTACGTCCTCGTGTAAATAAACTATATATTTCACTGCTCTGGTGTTTTCTTATGAATAGATCTGCACGTCTTCGGTTGTCGTCACTTTTGTTTGTATGTTTTCAGGGTTGTGCAGAACATTTAAATCATTTTTCCTACATGTTTGTACCAACAGCTTCACAGATGGCTAAATTTGATCCTTTTTTTTTTGGTCAGTTTACATAAAACGACAGTCGTCTTGTGATCTTTAATTATTACAGCCAGAACACAGAAATAATCTGCTTTTGTCAAATTTCTTTTTTTAAACACTTGTTATATGTTTGTAAAATCATTTTCTCGTGGAGCTTCATGCGTTTATATCAAATCAATCAGAACAGTCTGTGTGTACTTTGACAGGTTTGGGATTGGGAGAATGTCTCGAGCCTCAATGACAATAAATCTCTAAATATTGTGTCCCTAAAATACTTTTGAATGAATGTTCCAGGACTTTATCAGCACCACTGCCATTTAAAACACTGGGTTGTTGGTGAATGTAGTTGTTCTGATCCAGCCTCTAGGGTCGGCTGGGTGTAACAGAACAGATGGAGGTGGTTCGGGTCATTTATTGCTCAGTAAATGAACAGAACAGAACAGTGACGATGCAAAATTAGAGGGTGGAAAAACCAAACGAAGGCTAACGGAGCATCGAAGCGAGCTAACAGAACTAAACTCTGTAGCCAAAACCTAACAGCAACATCCACACATAACAAAAGAAACTAAAACAAACTCTGAAATCTCAGAATATGAAAACACAAGACACCAGTAACTTCTTCACGAAGCTGCGCAGCTGCTAGCGGGAGTCAGTCTGCACTAAGACTCACAAAAACTCCCACACTGAGTCAGCAGCTGCAGACTGAAGTTACAAGAAGCACCAGGACTGACTGTTCACACTAAACCCCAGCCAGCCCCGACTGAAAGGTTGGTTTTATAGTCAGCTGTGGTGATTGCTGACGAGGAGGAGAAGTGGTGGTCCAATCAGGTGTAACTGGAGGCGGGGAGAACAAGGCTGAGGATAGGTGTGGAGCTCCAGGGCAATCATCACTGATGTCTGGCAGGTGTGGTTCTGCAGCACCGGCTCCAGCTGGGCCTTGATTACAAGTCCAACACATGTGACGGCACAAACACCACGGGCCGTAACAGTAATATATTCAATGTGGAGACGAGCAGAGTTCATCCATATTCTAGTTTTTGTGGTGTTCAGAAACTCAGCAATGTGCTTTCATTTGCAGAAAACAAATGTTTTTTAACCCTGTGATCATATAAAAGACGCTGAGTTCAGCTTCCTGACGATGAGAAGCCTGTCAGGAATGGAAACATCCTTCAGGTCTGTCCCTCTGACTCGCTTTCTTGGAAACTTATGCAACCTGCACACAACCAGACAAAGCTCCTGGAAAGTCACTCCTCTGACAGTGAAGCAGTCGTCCTACCAACAAAATGCATGAACAGAATAAACAAAGAGATCATCCATCTATCATATGAATCAATACGGTGATTGCATGTAAAGACATTAGAAGGTCCAGTCCCCGGTGAAGCAGAACTCCTGGTTATAACTCCAACATGGAGACAGACTTCTTTGAAGCAAACTTCTTTTTCAGAGGACTTGTCAGTGTCTCGATGGCCTCACTGGTCTGGTTCTTGCGCTCGGTTTTTAAGGTACGGCCTCCTCCCTCTCAGATGTGCCATATTCCTTCCATTTCCTAACGAAGGATTTAACTCTAACAGTGACTTGGACAGTTTTTCTTGCACCCATTTCCTGACTGATGCTTTTTGATAACCTTTCCATGGAGCTGCTTTGTGGGCTCGTTCAGCAGTGATCGGACCTTCCAGATCCAGGAGCCTGCAATCACTTGAGACTCATTCG